ATGCTACCATCTGCTGGTATAGTTTAGACACCACCACAGAACATATTTATTGCTGTCACACTGAGGACATGATGATGGATATCGAGTTTCCAACTGGAGAGAGTAGTAACTAATCAATGATTGAAAACGACATCAACAACTGTCTGATTTAGCAAAGGTACATTAGGCCAGAATTATGGTCCTTATTGGACATTTACCAGCAGGTCCAGACAGTGTTAGGACTACGGTAATTATTGGACATGCCCCAGCATGTCCAGACAGTGGTAGGACTACGGTCCTTATTGGACATGCCCCAGCATGTCCAGACAGTGGTAGGACTACGGTCCTTATTGGACATTTACCAGCAGGTCCAGACTGTGGTAGGACTACGGTCCTTATTGGACATGCCCCAGCAGGTCCAGACAGTGTTTAACTTAACACACACTGTGCTGTTTGACCAAAAGGCACACTGTATTGTATCTGTTTGAGAAAAGAGTGTGACTACAGTTTAGTAAATTAATAATTCACAGCTAGTCTGCATTATGCACTCCTTTTGAAGTGAGATCCCACCTGCTGTCATAGCCCTTACGAAAAAAAGATCGCAGTCAGAGCACAGCAGTTCGAGTGCAGTATAACTGCAGAATGCAGCAATAACTGCGTCTAAAATAACACAGCCGACAGCAGTTACTGCACTTTTACTGCAGTTTCAAAACTGCAATCTGCAGTCTACTGGCTAGGTCTCTCTTCAGTCTTTGGCTGTAGATTGCTCCTGCTCGGGTCATCGGAAAAACAGCACATATGAAAAACATAACCATCTATTCGAGCATGAAATGGCAATAGTTTCTGGCACACCGATTTGACTATCATCATAAATAATAATCACCTATTTATGCAACCACTCTCAACAGTGACATTTTGGGAATGGTATAAGGCTAACTGACCAAATTCTGTTGAACATACAGTAGGCTTTGTTATATGACGACAGAATAACGTTCATACAGGTCACAGATATTATTATCTACAATAAACAAAAACGAGTTGTTTCACAACAAATGTACAGAGTTCCGCAGAAGTCTTGTTGCCTACACAGGAAAGACGCGTCATGGCCCTCTTTCCAACCTTCCTTAATTCAGAGGGGCAGGATCCAAAAGCGGTAGATCGATATTGAAGATGGAAGGCGCAGCGACGCCCACTGTGATAACGTCTACCAGCAGCATCGCGGAAAACTTTTACACCTCTACTCTGGCTTACGACAGGCACTTTTTTCGCACTGCTTCGGGACTCCTCGTTTTCGCAGAAATGGTAAGTTAGTCACATTTCAAGTTTAAAGTTTTAGGCTACGGGATACGTCCAAAGAAATGCTAACTTGCATGTTCCTTCTCGACAATGCAACATCAATAAGACATAATAAAATATAAAATAATAATAATAATAATATGCCATTTAGCAGACGCTTTTATCCAAAGCGACTTACAGTCATGCGTGCATACATTTTTGTGTATGGGTGGTCCCGGGGATCGAACCCACTACCTTGGCGTTACAAGCGACGTGCTCTACCAGCTGAGCTACAGAGGACCACATCATGCTGTGGGGGTGCTTTGCTGCAGGAGGGACTGATGCACTTCACAAAATAGATGGCATCATGAGGAAGGAAAATTATGTGGATATATTGAAGCAACATCTCAAGACATCAGTCAGGAAGTTAAAGCTTGGTTGCAAATGGGTCTTCCAAATGGACAATGACCCAAGTATGCTTCCAAAGTTGTGGCAAAATGGCTTAAGGACAACAAAGTCAAGGTATTGGAGTGGCCATCACAAAGCCCTGACCTCAATCCTATAGAACATTTGTGGGCAGAACTGAAAAGGCGTGTGCGAGCAAGGAGGCCTACAAACCTGACTCAGTTACACTAGCTCTGTCAGGAGGAATGGGCCAAAATTCACCCAACTTATTGTGGGAAGCTTGTGGACTTATAAGAAAACGAACATAAATTAAATGGCTCAGTAGAACAGAATAAACATTTTATAGTAGCATAAGTATTATTTAAGAAGGCATAATTTATAGTCCAATATTTACACGTGTATTGGAGAAGGAGGGGATGGGGGTCAGTGTATAAACTGAACAGTATAATAAGAGTCTGATAGCAGCAGTTGTGATGTGTGTGTAGCATGAATGTAAATGTGTGTGTGTGTGTATGTCTGTGTGGGTGTGTGCATGAGAGAGTGCGTGTGTGCTAAGGTGAGGAGAATCAGAGCAGGTGGTCAGTCCAGTTCAATTGTTCAGCAGTCTGATGGCCCAAATCTAACTGCCTGTAGCTCAGGACCTGAAGCAAGGATATGCATATTCTTGATACCATTTGAAAGGAAACACTTTGAAGTTTGTGGAAATGTGAAATTAATGTAGGAGAATATAACACATTCGATCTGGTAAAATAAAATACAAACATAAAAACATGCGTTTTCTATTTTCTTTTTGTTCCATCATCTTTGAAATGCAAGAGAAAGGCCACAATATAATATTGCAGTTTAGGCGCAATTTAGATTTTGGCCACTTGATGGTAGCAGTGTGTGTGCAAAGTTTCAGATTTATCCAGTGAAGCATTGCAATACTGGACTATTTTGTATGAAGTCTGCCCAAATGTGCGAAAATGGTCAATTGATACATTTTCAAGTACATAACTATAGAGAACATACAAAAATTATATGGTGATGCCGTGATGCAACCGGTCAGGACGTTCTTGATGGTGCAGGGCTAGTATTTGGAGAGGACCTGGGGCGGCATGCTGTTGTGTCCTCTTGACAAGAGTGGTGGTGTTGTTGGTCCATGACACGTCCTCGGTTTGCAACGCCAGGGTTATGGGTTCTGTGATTCCCACGGGGGGCCAATATAAAAAATGATGTATGCACTCACTAACTGTAAGTCACTCTCTCCAGATAAAATCTTGCGACTTGTGACGGCCGGCCGCCCAACAACCTGCCCGCTTGACCCTATCCCCTCCTCTCTTCTCCAGACCATCTCCGGTGACCTTCTCCCTTACCTCACCTCGCTGATCAACTCATCCTTGACCGCTGGTTATGTCCCTTCCATCTTCAAGAGAGCGAGAGTTGCACCCCTTCTCAAAAAACCAACACTCGATCCCTCTGATGTCAACAACTACAGACCAGTATCCCTTCTCTGTGTCACGGAGGCTCTCCGCACTGCTAAAGCTAACTCTCTCTCCTCTGCTCTTGTACTTCTAGACCTGTCTGCTGCCTTTGATACTGTGAACCATCAGATCCTCCTCTCCACCCTCTCCGAGCTGGGCATCTGCTACAAGACCATGATGCTTGCCTACGGAGCTGTGAGGGGAATGGCACCTCCGTACCTTCAGGCTCTGATCAGTCCCTACACCCAAACGAGGGCATTGCGTTCATCCACCTCTGGCCTGCTGGCTCCCCTACCTCTGCGGAAGCATCCCCAAAGAATGATGTTTCCACCACCATGCTTCACGGTTGGGATGGTGTTCTTGGGGTTGTACTCATCCTTATAATAATATAATATAATATAATAATAATATAATATGCCATTTAGCAGACGCTTTTAACCAAAGCGACTTACAGTCATGTGTGCATATATTTTTACGTATGGGTGGTCCCGGGGATCAAACCCACTGCCCTGGCGTTACAAGCATAATGCTCTACCAATTGAGCTACAGAGGACCAGGATCCTTCTTCTTCCTCCAAACACGGCGATTGAAGTTTAGACCAAAAAGCTCTATTTTTGTCTCATCAGACCACATGACCTTCTCCCATTCCTCCTCTGGATCATCCAGATGGTCATTGGCAAACTTCAGACGGGCCTGGGCATGCGCTGGCTTGAGCAGGGGGACCTTGCGTGCGCTGCAGGATTTTAATCCATGACGGCGTAGTGTGTTACTTATGGTTTTCTTTGAGACTGTGGTCCCAGCTCTCTTCAGGTCATTGACCAGGTCCTGCCGTGTAGTTCTGGGCTGATCCCTCACCTTCCTCATGATCATTGATGCCCCACGAGGTGAGATCTTGCATGGAGCCCCAGACCGAGGGTGATTGACTGTCATCTTGAACTTCTTCCATTTTCTAATAATAGTTGTTGCCTTCTCACCAAGCTGCTTGCCTATTGTCCTGTAGCCCATCCCAGCCTTGTGCAGGTCTACAATTTAACCCTGATGTCCTTACACAGCTCTCTGGTCTTGGCCATTGTGGAGAGGTTGGAGTCTGTTTGATTGAGTGTGTGGACAGGTGTCTTTTATACAGGTAACGAGTTCAAACAGGTGCAGTTAATACAGGTAATGAGTGGAGAACAGGAGGGCTTCTTAAAGAAAAACTAACAGGTCTGTGAGAGCCGGAATTCTTACTGGTTGGTAGGTGATCAAATACTTATGTCATGCAATAAAATGCAAATGAATTACTTAAAAATCATAGAATGTGATTTTCTGGATTTTTGTTTTAGATTCCGTCTCTCACAGTTGAAGTGTACCAATGATAAAAATTACAGACCTCTACATGCTTTGTAAGTAGGAAAACCTGCAAAATCGGCAGTGTATCAAATACTTGTTCTCCCCACTGTAGCTGTTGTACTGTTTTAGATGAGAGCTTGCAGGTAACAGAGCACTCTACACTTCAATGGATCCTGTGCATATACCAATAAACTGTTATTTGATTTGCCTTAGGCTATATTATTTCCTTTCATTGTAATCTCTTTATACAGTATGCCATCAAGATAAGCACAGCAAATGCATTTAAATACACGATAAAGTAGACACCACCAGAGCACAGCCATCACTGACTATGGGTACGTCCCAAATGGCACCCTATTCCCTAAATAGTGCACTACTTTTTACTAGAGCTCTATGGGCCCTGTTAAAAAGTAGTGCACTATAAAGGGAATAGGGTGCCATTTGGAATGCTGGCTATGTGCTTCCCTGTCCCCTCGGGTGTTTGGTCTGCTGGTATGGATGCTGATAGCGGGGACAAACTACTTCCGTGTGTCTGCCTTTGGGTGGGTCATGTTTGTGGCCATCTTGTACTGGGTCCTGACAGTCATCTTCCTCATCATCTACCTGACCATGGCTTACAACAGGATCCCTCAGGTCCCCTGGACAGTTGTGGTACGACACATACTACGACACATAATACAATAGCACATTATCTGACCAACTTGAAACTTGAGTGATTGGGGTTGTTTATTATATATCTAGTGATTGAATAATTGTGGACTATTTATGTAACTCAAAAGCAATGGAGTGAACTTCCTGGATGGTTTTGGGGAAGAGAGGATTTTTGTGTGCTCCTGACCATGTCTTTATGAATGTGATCAAATGAAGCCATTCTATACTGTGTACTAGCCTACAGTATCTGAGCCAGCCAGCCAGGAATCCTGTTATTGTCATTCTACAGGGCCTGTTCTTCAACAGTAGTGCTACAGTGATGTATGTGGTGTTCTACAGAATCTGTTCTTCAACAGTAGTGCTACAGTGATGTATGTGGTGTTCTACAGGGCCTGTTCTTCAACAGTAGTGCTACAGTGATGTATGTGGTGTTCTACAGGGCCTGTTCTTCAACAGTAGTGCTACAGTGATGTATGTGGTGTCCTACAGGGCCTGTTCTTCAACAATAGTGCTACAGTGATGTATGTGATGTTCTACAGGGCCTGTTCTTCAACAGTAGTGCTACAGTGATGTATGTGGTGTTCTACAGGGCCTTTTCTTCAACAGTAGTGCTACAGTGATGTATGTGGTGTTCTACAGGGCCTGTTTTTCAACAGTAGTGCAACAGTGATGTATGTGGTGTTCTACAGGGCCTGTTCTTCAACAGTAGTGATACAGTGATGTATGTGGTGTTCTACAGGGCCTGTTCTTCATCAGTATGGCTACAGTGATGTATGTGGTGTTCTACAGGGCCTGTTCTTCAACAGTAGTGCCACAGTGATGTATGTGGTGTTCTACAGTGTCTGTTCTTCAACAGTAGTGATACAGTGATGTATGTGGTGTTCTACAGGGCCTGTTCTTCATCAGTAGTGCTACAGTGATGTATGTGGTGTTCCACAGGGCCTGTTTTTCAACAGTAGTGCTACAGTGATGTATGTGGTGTTCCACAGGGCCTGTTTTTCAACAGTAGTGCTACAGTGATGTATGTGGTGTTCTACAGGGCCTGTTCTTCAACAGTAGTGCTACAGTGATGTATGTGGTGTTCTACAGGGCCTGTTTTTCAACAGTAGTGCTACTGTGATGTATGTGGTGTTCTACAGGGCCTGTTCTTCAACAGTAGTGCTATAGTGATGTATGTGGTGTTCTACAGGGCCTGTTCTTCAACAGTAGTGCTACAGTGATGTATGTGGTGTTCTACAGGGCCTGTTCTTCAACAGTAGTGCTACAGTGATGTATGTGGTGTTCTACAGGGCCTGTTCTTCAACAGTAGTGCTACAGTGATGTATGTGGTGGCAGCAGCAGTGGATGCAGCCTCAATCAGCCATGCTGTTAAAGGGCGCCATAACTACAACTGCTGGGTAGTATCCACGGTAAGAAAACCAGCTCAGACCACCCAGACATACATTCAAATCACGCCAACTGTGAAAATATACCACAAATATGACTGAGTATTTATGATTAAAGCGATATCAAAATATACAATAATAAAATGGAAATATATGCCTACAAGTCAGATAAGAGAAGTATGATGCCACTGTGTACCATCCCAATGATATCTATTTGGTCCATTTAAGCCTGCTCTACTCACACCTACTATTGTACTGAATTTCAATGTTTTCATCTGTCTGTTTTTCAGTTCTTTGCCTTCCTGGTCACGCTCTGCTATGCAGGAAGTACGTATATAAGTTTTAAATCGTGGCGATCGAGGGCTGAGGAACAATAACCAATCAATAAGGACAGCTAAAGTATATCTGTTATGGTACACATGAAGGATCTTGAAAAGTACCGATGGTTAAGTGCAACAACCACTCCTTCCCTTTGGAATACATTTCTCTTTGATTTAATTTATGTTCTATTTCTGTTATTTTGGAATTGTGGTGTGTTTCATCTGTTGGAATGACAGAGCCTGAACCCCAGGGATGTTTGTACTTCTTATGAACTCAAATGTTTATAAAGTGGCTATTCTATTGTTCTGAAGCTGGAGATCAAAGCTTTAACTCCAATATTAAAATGGATTGGACAGTAATGTTGTACCACACTAGATGGTGCTAAAATACAAGGCTGGGAAACAGGGCTTATGAAGGACATTACAGTTAATTCTCTTTTTGATTATTCAAAAAAATTATGATATACGAATAATATATTTTACTAATAGGATAGAATGAAAACTTGTCAAAAACACCTACTGTACATCATTTGAAATGCTGCCCAAGTTTTGCTTTGTGATGCCTTGAGGGTCCAATACAGGGGGATACATTGTTGCAGATTATTTAGTGAGTCTGGCCTGAATATGCAGTATTCAAGCAAACACTCTAGGCTCAATGATTAAGGTATAATGTAGAGCTGTTCATGGTTCAACAACTGTATATATATTCAAAAAATCACACATAATATCTTAAAATTTGCAACCATCCCATTGCAGTATCATCCACATTACCCTAAATGCAAATAGAAAAAATCCATAGAATTCTTGCCCCATTTAAATCGGTTGTTCCTCAAAGTAGCTCGGATTTACTGGGACTAAGACAAGGAACTATAGCTGAACATTGAACAGCTTCCCAAATCCCAGACTGTAGCTTTAACTGAAACACTATGCAGCTTGTCATGCAATGCCAGGCTAGAAGGAGAGCAGACTTCATTGACAACATGTTTGATGTTATGAATGGGTATGGCAGATATACATTCCAGACATTATGGGTGTGTTGGATAATAGCGCTTGGAATTGCCAGGGACCTCATGATACGATATTAACACAATACTTAGGTGCTGATATGATATATATTACGATTCTCACGATTCTACATGTATTGCGATTCTATACTGTGATTTTATTGTGATTCGATGTTCCAAACATGTTGCCACACTATATGTCTGAGGCAGAGAGACGAGAGAGCATGAGAAAAGTAATGGAAATACAAATGTGCTTCCTATTTAAAATGAAAATGGAGAACAGTCTATGAAGGAAAAATAGAGTTTTGGAGCAGGGACAGCCAACTAGTGCAAAAATATTAGTGCGATATTGTCAATACGATGGGATACGATATCGTTGAAAATAATATCCCGATATGTAACTATCGATTCCCCCCCCCCCTCATCACTACTGTATAGCTGTTGTAACGGTCTTGCAGTTATACATTTAGTTGCTTATTGCACCATTGAGGTAGAGTTTGTTAAGATGACAGATTAGTTTATTGTAGCTTCTGGTAACTACTGTATGTATTTTCTTATCAAAAGGAATACAATGAAATATAATGATTAAATATATGCTTTTTATTAAAATGTCCGTAAGCAGATGTAGCAGAAAAGGAACACACACAACAAATACAGTGTGTATAAAATAGTGAAGGTGAAGTACCCTGAAATGCAATTATCTCCCGATAATATTTTATTGTTCAATTAATCAAAGATATAATTAATCCTTTAAATCCCATATGATTCTTTCATTTATTGTGATAAATACAACCTCAAATGATGAGTAACAACGCATGTGGTCCGTGACCCACTCACTCAAACGGGATCTCCTCACTTGAAGCTGTACAGAAATACTCCCCAAATATTCTAAACATTCAAATTCATTCAGTTTATATTCTCATGAAGCACCCATATGATCGTGATATTAAAACAGTCCTGTCAGCGTCTATGTCAAACATCCGTCCAAAACATATAGGGTCAGTTTCCTGGACCCAGATTAAGTTTACTCCTGGACTAAAAAGCATGCTGAATGGAGAATCTCCATTGAAAGTAACTAATCCAGCACTAGGCTTAATCTGTATCCGGGAAACCATCCCAAAGAGAAAGACATACTTAAACATTTTTTCAATTAAGAGGAGGTACTGTTTCCAGCCTCTTCCATGTTCACCCATCCCCAGTGGGCTCCGATGGAAGTGATCCCGGCACCGTTGAAGCGACCGCTGAGCATCCTCAGCTCATTGCCCTTGTTGGCTGGGTAGAAGTTGAAGGAGACTTGGTTAGGCTGGCCGGCCGCCAGAGTGCGCCCCATGTTGGTTGTGAACACCAAGGTGTAGATGTAGTTTCCTGGGTTGTACTTCCCAGACACCTCGATGATGGCCTCATCCTTAAAAAAGCTCCATCTCCTGCTTTTCACCCACTTCGCGACCGAACACAGGAGACCAGGTGTTGCTGTATCTCAGCTGGAACCTAAAACAGAGGAAGCTTTTTCACGTTGGTTGTGTTTTTGGATAAGGCACATTCAGACCGAGAGAGCAAGTAGCGTCAGAGAATATCAAGGACTGACATTTTCCATTGTACTCTGGGTTAGATATGATAACACTATTGTTTTGTCATGTACTGAATCTGTAATAAACACAATAAAGAAAGAAAGAAAGAAAGAAAGAAAGAAAGAAAGAAGAAAGAAAGAAAGAAATAAAAAAAGAAAAGAAAGAAAGAAAGAAAAGAAAGAAAGAAGAAAGAAAGAAAGAAAGAAGAAAGAAAAAGAAAGAAAGAAAAAACGAAGAAAGCACTAAGAAAAAAATAAAGAAAAAAGAAAAGAAAGAAGAAAGAAGAAGAAAAAAGAAATAAAGAGTTGTGTTCTGTTGGGTAGTGTAGTTGGACTGATTCGGTGGTGTCTGTTGGGTAGTGTAGTTGGACTGAGTCAGTGGTGTCTGTTCATGGGTCAGGGTCTGCTCACCCGTTGATGTAGGCGTTGTTGTTCTCCCACACTCTGACCGCTGTGATGCGTCCCTCACCGGAGGAAGCAAATGGGGTGCCACCTCCCTGACCCACCGCAGAGGAATACGAGTACAGGTCTTTGATGGCTAAAATAACATGGGCAATATGTTTTCTATATTTACTATATTAATAATACATATTTATATATACATAATTTTAATTTTACCAACACATTTCTGAAAGATCTTTACATTATGAATAAAGTGCAGATTAATTAACTAAAGTACATTCTGCAATGCTTTAATACATCAGCTTTTGTCTCAAAGTAGAACTCCTAAGTCTAACTGAAAAAGACAAGATGGTGAAAGCACAAAAGCTATTATTGAATAATTATAATTCAGAATTGTATTTGTATTACTCACGCATTGCCAAGCAGCTGGCCAAGAAGACTGTGACAAACAGGATTGAGAACATTCTGCAAAAGGGAGACATCAATACTTAAGACCTTTCATTTCAGTAAATTTCACTCTCACTCCATTTCACTTGAAATGGTAAAACTTGAAATAATTTTGTTAATAATGTTTTTCATAGTATTTCACAAAAAGAACTAAGGCATTTTACCTGTCAGGTCAACCAATGTTTCCTATAAGGGGGAAAAAAATTACCTTTTGAATTGTGAAATGTGACTTAACAACAAACCATTCTTGAATGTGAAATGTTACAAAACAGCTTTCAAAAGTTGAACTCGTATTTACTACAATCTCTCTTGTAGTGCTAAGCTACTGTCAAATAAAAAAAATGTCAGATAAATTAAATTTACATTTTTAGGCAATAGGGCAAAAGTGTTTGTGCCCATGTACCAAGAGATGATGAGTGTTAACTTCATAACATTTCCCTCACCAGTATAATGCATTAAATACAAGTGCACATTTTATATTTAGCTAGTTGTGTACATACCCACAGTGATATCTTGACATTTGTTTGAAAACCTGTGAAAGGTTTGTATCTCTCTGTCTCTGCCAGGTCCTTCTAGTCTACTGCTTCCTCTTAGAACTGCATTTATACATGCTGAACATTCCATCAGCTCTAGATGGAAGGAGCATGCCAAAGAACACCTATAGTCAGTCACCCACTATAGAGAAGTCAGACATTGTTTGCTAATTGATCGAGGCTACTTTGGGAGGGAGTGTCAAGGAAATATTATAAGGAAAAAATTGTATTCAGAGGATGTGCTTTCTTTTGAATTGTAACAAATAAATGATCTGAAATAGGGATTAAAAAAAGATACAATCTAACAACCGACCAATCAAAAGAATATACCAAAATCATATGAATGTGTACGAAAATCGCTCAAAATCAGTCTCCCAATCTTCAGTTGTTTTATTACCCCAAGAGGAACTTCTTCCCTTCAAACATTAACATGCTGAAAAAGACGTGGATCTGGTCATTAATAGGGTAGTTAGTTCATTAGTTTGTTCAAATATCTATTTTATTGTAGAAGATTTGCTTAAGTACATGTATTTACATTTTATTCTAGAGGGGCAGATGAGATTCTCAATTTTTCATCTCCATTATCGTCTGACGTTTTCTGCAGTCTGTTACAATACACACATCTTGTCACATCTCCTCCCGTTGCTCCCCTCCGGCGCTCTGATTCGCCGGTCTACTGACCCTCCGGTCTGAGCGCACCACCTCGGCAGCACGGGAATGGAAATCCATTCCATCTATTTACCTCCAGCGCACCTGCACCTCATCATCTCATCACCACCCCTATTAAGCCCTGGAATGTTCTGTAATATGTTGTGGGTGATTGTTTAGCGTTGTGTCCGGGCCGGTATCGTGGTTATTTCGCTTTGTCATTGTTTAAGTAAACCTTGACATTGTTAATTCCTGCGACTGCGTCCTGCCTCTTCGTATACTCAGTACTCATCTTCATTAAATCACTGGCAACCTGTACCATGTTTTCTACAGGAAAACTATCTGATTTCATTTTCTGCTGATTAATCAGATAAATATCAGTAAGGAGCTACAAAGTGAGAAAATAAATAAAAGTTTGTATACACATAACAACGTGAAATACCCTGAGTCACTTGTTACTATCTATCCATAATATTTGATAGTGCAATTAACATATTAATACAAATATATAACGTAGGACCTAATTGATCAACAAAAAATATATAAAAAGATAAGTTAAAAGGTCAATATAAATCAAAAATGCTATATTAACAACTTTTGTATATATACATTGAGTTTATCTATTTTCTTTTAGTTGGGGAAGAATGTGAATTTATCTCATAACCACCAATTGGGCAGCACACTGGGTTCAATCAACATTGTTTCCACGTCATTTCCATGAATTATGTTGAACCAATTGGAATAGGACGTTTGAATTTACGTCTGGGTGTCCCAGTGGTAGCTTCCCTTACAAAACATTTGTTTGCGTATAAAGCTACGATACAAATGAACTCTTGTATATTAAATGTATTCTGATGCACTCATACATACTCCTTTCATTTGATATGGTAATACAAACCTCCAATAATGTCTGTGACCCTCCTCCCTCATCGGGGTAAACCACAAAGACAGTGTGCATATTTAGAAAACTTCTCTGTAATTATTCTAAACATTCAAATTCATTCACCTTTCAAACGGTTCAGTTAATATATCTCATAACAAAAAGTCCTGTCAGCGTCTCTTCAAACATCCCAAACATAAAGGGTCATATTTCCCAACCCCTATTAATTTTACTCTTTGCACTACAAAGCATGCTCAATGGAGCAATCTCATCCCAAAGAGCAGACATCCTTTTTTTTCCCCCCCATTAGAGTACTGTTTACAGCCTCTTCCATGTAAACCATCCCAGTGGTTCAATGGAGGTGATTCTGGCACCGTTGAATTGGCCGTTGAGCCGCCTCATCTCACTGCCCATGTGGCTGTGTCGAATTTAAAGGACGTGGTCGGCTGGCCGCCGACAGAGAGCGCCCCCTGTTGGTGGTGTAACACCAGGTAAGCGATGTAGTCTCCAGTGTTGTACTTCCCAGACACCTCGACGATGGCCTCTATCCTTAAACAGCTCCATCTCCTGCTTTTCACCCACTTCGTCCACCAAACACGGAGACCAGGTGTTGCTTACTCAGCTGGAACCTAAGAAACAGAGCAGACTTTTTCACTATAAATATCGAAAGAAAAAAATACAGAAAGAGTGTGGCTGTTGTGTAGTTAGTTTGACTGAGTCAGCGGTGTGTGTATGGGGAGTGTAGTTGGACTGAGTCAGTGGTACTGTTGGTAGTGTAGTTGGACTGATCAGTGGTGTCTGTTGGGGATAGTGTCGTTGGACTGAGTAATTGGTGTCTGTTGGGTAGTGTAGTTGAACTGAGTCAGTGTGTCTGTTTGGGTAGTGTAGTTGGGACTGAGTCAGTGGTGTCTGTGGGTAGTGTAGTGGACTGAGTCCGTGGGTGTCGTTGGGTAGTGGTAGTTGGATGGCGTCAGTGGTGTCTTTGGTAGTGTAGTTGGATTGAGTCAGTGGTGTCTGTTGGTAGTTAGTTGGATTGAGTCGTGGTGTCCTTTTGGGTAAGTGTAGTTGGCACTTGAGTCAGTGGTTTTCGTTCATGGGTCAGGGTCGCTCACCCCGTTATGTAGGCGTTGTTGTTGTCGTAGTAGTAGGAGTAATGTAGTAGTAGTAGTAGTGTAGTTGTTGTTTTCCCCAATTCTGACCGCTGTGATGCGTCCGCTCACCGGAGGAGCAGAATGTGGTCCAGTGCCCAACTCACCGCAAGGGCGCATCACAGCGGTCAGAATGTGGAAAACACCAACTACTACTACTACTACTACTACTACTACTACTACTAATACAACAACACCGCCCTAACATCAACTGGTGAGGCAGACCCTGACCCATGAACGACCCACTGACTCAGTCCCACTACACTACCCAACAGACACCACCCGACTCAATCCAACTACACTACCACAGCACCACTGCTCAATCCAACTACACTACCCAACAAGACACACTGACTCATCCAACTACACTACCCAACAGACACCACTGACTCAGTCCAACTACACTACCCACAGACACCACTTACTCAGTCCAACTACAACTACCCAACACACCACTGACTCAGTTCAACTACACTACGGCCAACAGACCCCACTTAACTCAGTCCAATACACTACCCAACAGACACCACTGACTCAGTCCAACTACACTACCCAACCAGATACCACTGACTCAGTCCAACTACACTACCCAACACCCACCGCTGAATCAGTCCCCTACACTACCCAACAGACCAGCTCTTTTCTTTATTTTTTTCTTTCTATATTTATAGTGAAAAGGTCCTCTCTGTTTCTTAGGTTCCAGCTTGAATACAGCAACACCTGGGTCCTCCTGTGTTTGGTGGCGAAGTGGGTGAAAGGCAGGAGATGGAGCTGTTAAGGATGAGGCCATCGTCGAGGTGTCCGGGAAGTACAACCCTGGAGCCATACATCTGCTACCTGTGTTCACCACCAACAGGGGGCGCTCTCTGTCGGCCGCCAGCCGTACCACGTCTCCTTTAACTTCTACACAGCACACATGGGCATTGAGCTGAGGCTTGCTCAACGGCCAATTCACGGTGCCAGCATCACATCCATCGAACCCACTGGGATTGGTATACATGGAAGAGTGCTGTAAACAGTACCTCTTAATTGTGGGAAAAAAGTATGTCTTGCTCTTTGGATGAGTTCTCCATTGAAGCATGCTTTTTAGTCAAAGAGTAAAATTAATCTTGGTCTGGGAAACTGACCCTTTATGTTTTGGATGTTTGACATAGACGCTGACAGACTGTTTGGTATTGAGTATATTAACTGACCGTTTTGAAGGTTAATGAATTTGAATATATGTTTAGATATTACTAGATTTTACCTAAATATGCACACTGTCCTTTGTGAGTTTTACCCCGATGGAGGAGAGGGTCACATAACATTATTGGGGGAGTTGGTATTTACCATATCAAAATGAAAAATAGTATGTATGAGTGCTCAGAATACATTAATATACAATAGTTTCATCTTGTTATCTTAGCTTTATACAGCAAACAAATGTTTTTGTAAGGAATCTAACCCACTGGGCACAGACGTCAATTCACGTCTATCCAAATTGGTTCACATAATTCATTGAAATGAACGTGAAACAATGTTGATTGAACCAGTGGTGTTGCCCAATTGGTGTTATTGAGATCATTCCATCTTCCCCAACTAAAAGAAAATGAATAACTAAATGATATAATACAAAAGTTGTTAATATAGCATTTTTTGATTTATATTGACTTTAACTTATCTTTTTATATATTTTTTGTTGATCAATTAGGTCCTACTTATATATTTGTATAATATGTTAATTGCACTATCAATCTTAAGGATAGATAGTAACAAGTGCCCAGGGTAATTTTCCACCTTTGTATGTGTTACAAACTTTATTTTATTTTCCTCACTTTGTAAGCTCCTTACTGATATTTATCTGATTAATCACAGAAATGACAATCAGATAGTTTCCGGAGAAACATGTACAGGTTTGCCAGTGATTTAATGAAGATGAGTCCTGAGTATACGACGCAGGCGGACTCAGTCCCGCAGGAATTAACAATGCAAGGTTTACTTAAACAATGACAAAGCGAATAACCACGATACCGCCCGGACACAACGCTAAACAATCACCCCACAACCTATTACAGACATTCCAGGGCTTAATAGGGTGTGATGAGATGATGAGGTGCAGGTGCGCTGGAGGTCAATAGATTGAATGGATTTCCATTCCCGTGCTGCCGAGGTGGTGCGCTCAGACCGGAGGGTCAGTTAGACCGGCGAATCAGAGCGCCGGAGGGGAGCAACGGGAGGAGATGTGACAAGATGTGTGTATTGTAACAGACTGCAGAAAACGTCAGACGATAATGGGAGATGAAAAATTGAGAATCTCATCTGCCCCTCTAGAATAAAATGTAAATACATGTACTTAAGCAAATCTTCTACAATTAAATAGATATTTTGAACAAACTAATGAACTAACTACCCTAGTAATGACCAGATCCACGTCTTTTTCAGCATGTTAATGTTTGAAGGGAAGAAGTTCCTCTTGGGGTAATAAAACAACTGAAGATTGGGAGACTGGATTTTGAGCGATTTTTCGTACACATTCATATGATTTTGGTATATTCTTTTGATTGGTCGGTTGTTTAGATTGTATCTTTTTTTAATCCCTATTTCAGATCATTTATTTGTTACAATTCAAAAAGAAGCACATCCTTCTGAATACAATTTTTTCCTTATAATATTTCCTTGACACTCCCTCCCAAAGTAGCCTCGATCAATTAGCAAACAATGTCTGACTTCTCTATAGTGGGTGACTGACTATAGGGTGTTCTTTGGCATGCCTCCTTCCATCTAGAGCTGATGGAATGTTCAGCATGTATAAATGCAGTTCTAAGAGGAAGCAGTAGACTAGAAGGACCTGGCAGAGACCGAGAGATACAAACCTTTCACAGGTTTTCAAAACAAATGTCAAGATATCACTGTGGTATGTACACAACTAGCTAATATAAAATGTGCACTTGTATTTAATGCATTATACTGGTGAGGGAAATGTTATGAAGTTAACACTCATCATCTCTTGGTACATGGGCACAAACACTTTGCCCTATTGCCTAAAATGTAAATTTAATTTATCTGACATTTTTTTTATTTGACAGTAGCTTAGCACTACAAGAGAGATTGTAGTAAATACGAGTTCAACTTTTGAAAGCTGTTTTGTAACATTTCACATTCAAGAATGGTTTTGTTGTTAAGTCACATTTCACAATTCAAAAGGTAATTTTTTTCCCCCTTATAGGAAACATTGGTTGACCTGACAGGTAAAATGCCTTAGTTCTTTTGTGAAATACTATGAAAAAACATATTAACAAAATGATTTCAAGTTTTACCATTTCCAAGTGAAAATGGAGTGAGAGTGGAAATTTACTGAAATGCAGGTTCGTAAGTATTTGATGTCTCCCTTTTGGCCAGCAATGTTCTCAATCCTGTTTGTCACAAGTCTTCTTGGCCAAGCCTGCTGTGGTCAATGCGTGAGTAATACAAAACCAATTCTGAATATAATTATTCAATAATAAGCTTTTGTGCTTCACCAATCTGTCTTTTCAGTTAGACTTAGGAGTTCTACTTTGAGACAAAGCTGATGTATTAAAGCATTGCAGAATGTACTTTAGTTAATTAATCTGCAACTTTATTCATAATGTAAAGATCTTCAGAAATGTGTTGGTAAAATTAAAAATATGTATATATAATATGTATTATTAATATAGTAAATATAGAAAACATATTGCCCATGTTATTTTAGCCATCAAAGACCTGTACTCGTATTCCTCTGCGGTGGGTCAGGGGGTGGCACCCCATTTGCTTCCTCCGGTGAGGGACGCATCACAGCGGTCAGAGTGTGGGAGAACAACAATGCCTACATCAATGGGTGAGCAGACCCTGACCCATGAACAGACACCACTGACTCAGTCCAACTACACTACCCAACAGACACCACCGAATCAGTCCAACTACACTACCCAACAGACACACTCTTAATTTTTTTTCTTTCTTTCTTTCTTTCTTTCTTTCTTTCTTTCTTTCTTTCTTTCTTTCTTTCTTTCTTTCTTTCTTTCTTTCTTTCTTTCTTTCTTTCTTTCTTTCTGTATTTATTTATTGTGTTTATTACATATTCAGTACATGACAAAACAATAGTGTTATCGTATCTAACCCAGAGTACAATGGAAAATGTCAGTCCTTGATATTCTCTGACGCTACCTGCTCTCTCGGTCTGAATGTGCCTTATCAAAACACAACCAACGTGAAAAGCTTCCTCTGTTTTAGGTTCCAGCTGAGATACAGCAACACCTGGTCTCCTGTATTCGGTCGCGAAGTGGGTACAAAGCAGGAGATGGAGCTTTTTAAGGATGAGGCCATCGTCGAGGTGTCTGGGAAGTACAACGCAGGAGACTACATCTACACCTTGGTGTTCACAACCAACATGGGGCGCACTCTGGCGGCCGGCCAGCCTAACCAAGTCTCCTTCAACTTCTACCCAGCCAACATGGGCAATGAGCTGAGGATGCTCAGCGGTCGCTTCAACGGTGCCGGGATCACTTCCATCGGAGCCCACTGGGGATTGGTGTACATGGAAGAGGCTGGAAACAGTACCCCCTCTTAATTGAAAAAATGTTTAAGTATGTCTTTCTCTTTGGGATGGTTTCCCGGATACAGATTAAGCCTAGTGCTGGATTAGTTACTTTCAATGGAGATTCTCCATTCAGCATGCTTTTTAGTCCAGGAGTAAACTTAATCTGGGTCCAGGAAACTGACCCTATATGTTTTGGACGGATGTTTGACATAGACGCTGACAGGACTGTTTTAATATCACGATCATATGGGTGCTTCATGAGAATATAAACTGAATGAATTTGAATGTTTAGAATATTTGGGGAGTATTTCTGTACAGCTTCAAGTGAGGAGATCCCGTTTGAGTGAGTGGGTCACGGACCACATGCGTTGTTACTCAACATTTGAGGTTGTATTTATCACAATAAATGAAAGAATCATATGGGATTTAAAGGATTAATTATATCTTTGATTAATTGAACAATAAAATATTATCGGGAGATAATTGCATTTCAGGGTACTTCACCTTCACTATTTTATACACACTGTATTTTTTTTGTGTGTTCCTTTTCTGCTACATCTGCTTACGGACATTTTAATAAAAAGCATATATTTAATCATTATATTTCATTGTATTCCTTTTGATAAGAAAATACATACAGTAGTTACCAGAAGCTACAATAAACTAATCTGTCATCTTAACAAACTCTACCTCAATGGTGCAATAAGCAACTAAATGTATAACTGCAAGACCATTACAACACCTATACAGTAGTGATGAAGGGGGGGGGGGGGTCGATAGTTACATATCGGGATATTATTTTCAACGATATCGTATCCCATCGTATTGACAATATCGCACTAATATTTTTGCACTAGTTGGCTGTCCCTGCTCCAAAACTCTATTTTTCCTTCATAGACTGTTCTCCATTTTCATTTTAAATAGGAAGCACATTTGTATTTCCATTACTTTTCTCATGCTCTCTTGTCTCTCTGCCTCAGACATATAGTGTGGCAACATGTTTGAAACATCGAATCACAATAAAATCACAGTATAGAATCGCAATACATGTAGAATCGTGAGAATCGTAATATATATCATATCAGCACCTAAGTATTGTGTTAATATCGTATCATGAGGTCCCTGGCAATTCCAAGCGCTATTATCCAACACACCCATAATGTCTGGAATGTATATCTGCCATACCCATTCATAACATCAAACATGTTGTCTATGAAGTCTGCTCTCCTTCTAGCCTGGCATTGCATGACAAGCTGCATAGTGTTTCAGTTAAAGCTACAGTCTGGGATTTGGGAAGCTGTTCAATGTTCAGCTGCAGTTCCTTGTCTTAGTCCCAGTAAATCCGAGCTACTTTGAGGAACAACCGATTTAAATGGGGCAAGAATTCTATGGATTTTTTCGATTTGCATTTAGGGTAATGTGGATGATACTGCAATGGGATGGTTGCAAATTTTAAGATATTATGTGTGATTTTTTGAATATATATACAGTTGTTGAACCATGAACAGCTCTACATTATACCTTAATCATTGAGCCTAGAGTGTTTGCTTGAATACTGCATATTCAGGCCAGACTCACTAAATAATCTGCAACAATGTATCTCCCTGTATTGGACCCTCAAGGCATCACAAAGCAAAACTTGGGCAGCATTTCAAATGATGTACAGTAGGTGTTTTTGACAAGTTTTCATTCTATCCTATTAGTAAAATATATTATTCGTATATCATTATTTTTTTGAATAATCAAAAAGATAATTGACTGTAATGTCCTTCATAAGCCCTGTTTCTCAGCCTTGTATCTTAGCACCATCTAGTGTGGTACAACATTACTGTCCAATCCATTTTAATATTGGAGTTAAAGCTTTGATCTCCAGCTTCAGAACAATAGAATAGCCACTTTATTAGCTTCAGTCATTTTCATCCAAATGTTTAAAAAAACATTTGAGTTCATAAGAAGTACAAACATCCCTGGGGTTCAGGCTCTGTCATTCCAACAGATGAAACACACCACAACTCATAAATAACAGAAATAGAACAGAAATAAAATTAAAGAGAAATGTATTCCAAAGGGAAGGAGTGGTTGTTGCACTTAACCATCTGTACTTTTCAAGATCCTTCATGTGTACCATAACGGATATACTTTAGATGTTCTTTGTGATTGGTTATTGTTCCTCATTCCCTCGATCGCCACAATTGAAAACTTATATACGTATTTCCTGCATAGCAGAGCGTGACCAGGAAGGCAAAGAACTGAAAAACAGACAGATGAAAACATTGAAATTCAGTACAATAGTAGGTGTGAGTAGAGCAGGGTTAAATAGACCAAATAGATATCATTGGGATGGTACACAGTGGCATCATACCTCTCTTATCTGACTTGTAGGCATATATTTGCATTTTAATATTGTATATTTTAATATCGCTTTAATCATAAATACTCAGTCATATTTGTGGTATATTTTCACAGTTGGCTTGATTTAAATGTATGTCTGGGTGGTCTGAGGTGGTTTTCTTACCGTGGATGCTACCCAGCAGTTGTAGTTATGGCGCCCTTTAACAGCATGGCTGATTGAGGCTGCATCCACTGCTGCTGCCACCACATAACATCACTGTGACAACAAATACATCACTTTTAGCTACTACTGTTGAAGAAACAGGCCCTTGTGGAAAACTACCACATACCTTCACTGTAGCAATCCGTTGAGAACAGGCCTGTGGAACACCACATAATAACTTAGCACTATGTGATGAACAGGGCTCCTTAGGAAACACCACATACATCACTGTAGCACTACTGTTGAAGGAACAGGCCCTGGTAGAACACCAAATACACGCGGTAGCATACTGTTGAAGAAACAGGCCATGTAGAACACCACATACAATCACTCTAGCACTCACTGTGAAGGAACAGGCCCGTAGAACACCCATACATCAAGTAGCACCTGTTGAAGAACAGGCCTGTGGAAACCACATACATCACTGTAGCACTACTGTTGAAGAACAGGCCCTTGTAGAAACACCATACATAGCTGTAGACAATACTGTTTGAAGAAACAGGCCCCCTGTAGAAAACAACACATACATCAATCTAGCACTACTGTTGAAGAACAGGCCCTGTAGAACACCACATACATCACTGTAGCACCCCTGTTGAAGAACAGGCCCTGTGGAACACCACATACATCACTGTAGCACTACTGTTGAAGAACAGGTCCTGTGGAACATCACATACATCACTGTAGCACTACTGTTGAAGAACAGGCCCTGTAGAACACCACATACATCACTGTAGCACTACTGTTGAAGAACAGGTCCTGTAGAACACCACATACATCACTGTAGCACTACTGTTGAAGAACAGGTCCTGTAGAACACCACATACATCACTGTAGCACTACTGTTGAAGAACAGGTCCTGTAGAACACCACATACATCACTGTAGCACTACTGTTGAAGAACAGGTCCTGTGGAATGACAACAACAGGATTCCTGGCTGGCTGGCTCAGATACTGTAGGCTAGTACACATTATAGAATGGCTTCATTTGATCACATTCATAAAGACATGGTCAGGAGCACACAAAAATCCTCTCTTCCCCAAAACCACCCAGGAAGTTCACTCCATTGCTTTTGAGTTACATAAATAGTCCACAATTATTCAATCACTAGATATATAATAAACAACCCCAATCACTCAAGTTTCAAGTTGGTCAGATAATGTCCTGTTGTATTATGTGTCGTAGTATGTGTCGTACTCGTACCACAACTGTCCAGGGGACCTGAGGGATCCTGTTGTAAGCCATGGTCAGGTAGATGATGAGGAAGATGACTGTCAGGACCCAGTACAAGATGGCCACAAACATGACCCACCCAAAGGCAGACACACGGAAGTAGTTTGTCCCCGCTATCAGCATCCATACCAGCAGACCAAACACCCGAGGGGACAGGGAAGCACATAGCCAGCATTCCAAATGGCACCCTATTCCCTTTATAGTATACTACTTTTGAACAGGGCCCATAGAGCTCATATAGCTCTGGTAAAAAGTAGTGCACTACATAGGGAATAGGGTGCCATTTGGGAATTACACATAGTCAGTGATGGCTGTGCTCTGGTGGTGTCTACTTTATCGTGTATTTAAATGCATTTGCTGTGCTTATCTTGATGGCATACTGTAGAAAGAGATTACAATGAAAGGAAATACTATAGCCTAAGGCAAATCAAATAACAGTTTATTGGCATATGCACAGGATCCATTGAAGTGTAGAGTGATCTGTTTACCTGCAAGCTCTCATCTAAAACAGTACAACAGCTACAGTGGGGAGAACAAGTATTTGATACACTGCCGATTTTGCAGGTTTTCCTACTTACAAAGCATGGATTTAGACGGAATCTAAAACAAAAATTCTGAAAATCACATTCTATGATTTTTAAGTAATTAATTTGCATTTTATTGCATGACATAAGTATTTGATCACCTACCAACCAGTAAGAATTCCGGCTCTCACAGACCTGTTAGTTTTTCTTTAAGAAGCCCTCCTGTTCTCCACTCATTACCTGTATTAACTGCACCTGTTTGAACTCGTTACCTGTATAAAAGACACCTGTCCACACACTCAATCAAACAGACTCCAACCTCTCCACAATGGCCAAGACCAGAGAGCTGTGTAAGGACATCAGGGTTAAATTGTAGACCTGCACAAGGCTGGGATGGGCTACAGGACAATAGGCAAGCAGCTTGGTGAGAAGGCAACAACTATTATTAGAAAATGGAAGAAGTTCAAGATGACAGTCAATCACCCTCGGTCTGGGGCTCCATGCAAGATCTCACCTCGTGGGGCATCAATGATCATGAGGAAGGTGAGGGATCAGCCCAGAACTACACGGCAGGACCTGGTCAATGACCTGAAGAGAGCTGGGACCACAGTCTCAAAGAAAACCATAAGTAACACACTACGCCGTCATGGATTAAAATGGGGGGGGGGGGTAAGCGGGGGGGGGGGGGTAAGCGGGGGGGGGGGGGGGGGGGGGGGGGTAGAAGGATTACTTTATCCTATCCCAGGTATTCCTTAAAGAGGTGGGGTTTCAAATGTCTCCGGAAGGTGGTGAGTGACTCCGCTGTCCTGGCGTCGTGAGGGAGCTTGTTCCACCATTGGGGTGCCAGAGCAGCGAACAGTTTTGACTGGGCTGAGCGGGAAATGTGCTTCCGCAGAGGTAGAGGAGCCAGCAGGCCAGAGGTGGATGAACGCAATGCCCTCGTTTGGGTGTAGGATTTTTTGAGAAGGGGTGCAACTCTCGCTCTCTTGAAGATGGAAGGGACATAGCCAGCGGTCAAGGATGAGTTGATCAGCAAGGTGAGGTAAGGGAGAAGGTCACCGGAGATGGTCTGGAGAAGAGAGGAGGGGATAGGGTCAAGCGGGCAGGTTGTTGGGCGGCCGGCCGTCACAAGATTTTATCTGGAGAGAGTGACTTAGAGTTAGTGAGTGCATACATCATTTTTTATATTGGCCCCCCGAGGGAATCGAACCCATAACCCTGGCGTTGCAAACGCCATGCTCTACCAACTGAGCTACATCCCTGCCGGCCATTCCCTCCCCTAC